TGTCGACCAGACAAAGTACATCGACAATGCCATCCGCGCCGTGCGGGAGAAGAAGCCTCTCCCCGAGATTGACTTTACCCTCCATACTATGGAAGATGGCAGCCAAGTAAGCACTCAGGAACGTGTCTGCAAAGGTATGCCCGTTTCATAGCTTTTGCCTGGCTTGCCTGCCTGTTTCTGTTATTTCTACTACACGAAACAGCCCGAATAATGTGCTAACGACGCTGTGCCTACCAGATGTGCAAGCACCCGCCTTCCACCCGCCCACCGACGAGCAATTCTTCTCACCGCAAGATCGCACCAAGCCCAATATCCAGTTCCTCAAGCAGCACTTTTACCGTGAAGGTCGCTTGACTGAACAGCAGGCGCTATGGATCATAAAGAAGGGCACAGAGATTCTAAAGTCGGAGCCCAACATGTTGGAAATGGACGCTCCCATCACCGTCTGTGGCGATGTCCACGGCCAGTACTACGATCTCATGAAGCTCTTCGAAGTCGGTGGCGACCCAGCGGAGACGCGCTACCTGTTCTTGGGTGACTACGTTGATCGTGGATACTTCAGTATAGAGGTGAGACAGCCACAGCTGCGAATCTTGCCACATGCAATTCGCTGACAACCGCAGTGTGTTCTGTACCTATGGTCCCTCAAGATTTGGTACCCCAACACCCTTTGGCTCCTCCGAGGAAACCACGAGTGCCGTCACTTGACCGATTACTTTACCTTTAAGCTCGAATGCAAGCACAAGTACTCCGAGGCTGTATACGAAGCATGCATGGATTCCTTCTGCGCATTGCCTCTAGCTGCAGTCATGAACAAGCAGTTTTTGTGCATACACGGTGGATTGAGCCCTGAACTTCACACCTTGGACGACCTGAAGACCGTATGTATTACTTTCAACGCCTCCCGCACTGTAGCTGACTGTCGTAGATTGACCGCTTCCGGGAGCCGCCAACGCATGGTCTCATGTGCGATATTTTGTGGGCTGACCCACTCGAGGAATTTGGCCAAGAGAAGACCAATGATTTCTTTGTTCACAACCACGTTCGTGGATGCTCATACTTCTTCTCATACCCTGCTGCATGCGCTTTCCTCGAGAAGAACAACCTTTTGTCTATTATCCGTGCACACGAGGCCCAGGATGCTGGCTACCGAATGTACAGGAAGACACGGACGACTGGTTTCCCCAGTGTCATGACAATCTTCAGCGCGCCCAACTACCTGGATGTGTACAACAACAAGGCTGCTGTGCTCAAGTATGAGAACAATGTCATGAACATTCGGCAATTCAGTAAGTTCATGTCACTCGGTAGTTGGCTATAAGACTAACACTTTCAGACTGCACACCTCACCCGTACTGGTTGCCTAATTTCATGGATGTCTTCACATGGTCATTGCCATTCGTTGGAGAGAAGAGTATGTAGAACAGATCAGCTTTTTAAGCATTCTTACTAACTGTGTTTAGTCACTGACATGCTCATTGCTATCTTGAACACGTGCTCCAAGGAAGAACTTGAAGAAGAGACACCCAGCTCGTTGGCTTCTGGACCATCTTCGCCTCCTCTATCGAGTCTGGACCCAGATTCGACCGAATTCAAGCGTCGTGCCATCAAGAACAAGATTCTAGCCATTGGTCGTCTCTCCCGCGTATTCCAAGTGTTGCGCGAGGAGTCTGAGCGTGTTACAGAGTTGAAGACAGCTTCAGGAGGTCGACTCCCGGCTGGTACTCTGATGCTTGGTGCAGAAGGAATTAAGCAAGCAATCCACAGTTTCGAGGACGCGCGCAAGGTCGATCTGCAGAACGAAAGACTGCCACCAAGCCACGAGGAAGTACGGAAATCTCAGGAAGTCAGCCGAGAGCAAGCTCTTGAGAAGGCAACCAAGGAGGCAGAAAACGACCAGGGCCTGGCAACTGTGGCAAGGCGCATTAGCATGTAAGTATTGTTAGATGGTGATACAACATTGTACAGTGGCTAACATGTACAGGTCATCTGGATCCAGTCGCAACCGAAAGAGCTAGGCGCGATTTACGCGTTCGCGGTCGGAAAGCGAAGCCGAGAGACGAGTCATGACATGACATGCTGGTTTGGTTGTTGATTTCGGTATTGGCGGGCTACCAAATGTCATCAGTATACCATTCAGGCGCATATAACGTTAAAGGTATCACCCTCCGATGGGTGATAATAATTTGCTGGTCGACTGCTGCGGCTTTATTGAGCCGACTCCTCATTGAAACACAATCAATTCACGTGCCTAATGTATTAGTGGTTTTGTTATCGTGAATGTAGTATGTGATGAGGCTGGATGAGATGATGGTGGCTAGCGCACGTGCGCGGGCCGAAGCTAGCTTTGCCGACCTACGTCAATTGCAGTATTGCAGAGCATGATAGTAATGCTCAACTTCAAGCCCGATGCCTCCATGGGTGGCCTCAGTGCCGCGACTGACCATCTTTCGCAAGACAGGGTCGATTGATCGGATTCCGCTTGCGCTCCGCTGTCGCAATGTCCCAAGGTCGCCATATACGAGTCTCCGCGCCCGCTCCGCATCGACGCATGTCTCGCCGACTGCGATAAATCTGCGCCCCAATGTCCCGCCACGCAACCAGGAGCTATACGACGCCCTATCCGCTCTCAGTGGAGCTGCAGAGACACACGTCAACATTAGCAGATTACAGCTGGCGTTGCGGGGCCTGGCCGCCCAAGATGCAGTCACAAGAGTCGCTGGTACGGTGCACACGCAATTGAGTGCGGGCGGCGTAGGCGCTGACAGTGGCATACAGTCCTTGGTTTGAATAGCCAATTAAGCGCACAACAATTGGCACGGCTGTTGCTTGCCGACCCATTGGCCGCCGAAGGGCAATGGGAAAAGGACCTGGCCAAGGCAGGCGTCGGCAATGAGAATGCTGTGTTGCTAAAGTGGGTGCACTCGGGTCGCTGTAACGAGGGCGCAACCACTAACATGTCTGCGCAGGTACGGCACCGACCCCGACGACGTTACGCCATCACCACTATACAGAGTCCTCGCCGTTCCGTCGCGCATTCTCCAGTCGCATAATCTAGAGGTCCTTGTTTCGACGGTAAACGTCAATGTCAACAAATCTGTCCCTCATGTGTCAACAGAAAGCTCCACCGAGTCGCTGTTGGTTCCCAAACTCCAGGCCACTTCTGCCAGAGGATTGCCTGTCCCATATCCGGTGCACAAGACATTAGTATTAGGAGAGGGACTCGACAGTGCTATATCCTATGGGAGATTTTCAGCCGATGGTCTTGATGAGATGCAAGATATAGTGAAGTTGGCTATTGATCTGCCAGTACCATCGACCGAGTCAAGTACAGATCCTAATGCCGAAAGTGCTGCTATCAACATCGCAGTTGGTACCAAGGGACTCGACAACTTCCGAGAGTCTATCAAAAACGCAACTGTCTACGAGCAAGCTTGGTTCCAGAGCGGACTGCCAACACTGTCTCAGTGGCTGGTTCAGGATCTCAAAACTTCTCATGGCATTAAGCCTCCACTGAGGACGCTCATAGCTTCTGTTGCAGATGATGTAGAAGCAAGTGTTGCGAAAGAAGACGCTACTCACCTGCAGAAACTTGCAACTGTCCAAACTGACGAAGAGGTCACTGCATCAATTCTTGGCCATCTCGAGACCTGGGCTGAGAAGTCACACACCGAGCTCCGCGACCAGCTCGACGAAGCCTTTGCAGCGAAGAACTGGCACAAGTTGGCCTGGTGGAAGCTGCTCTGGCGTGTCGATGATGTCACAATGATCAGCTCAGAGATTCTGGAACGACGATGGCTTGTTTCTGCCGAGAAAAACAGTGTCTATCTCGCTGGTCGCATGAATCAAGCCGGCTATCCAGACGAGATTCAACGTGCTATTGCATCCAGCATACCTGAGGCCACAACACAAGACACCGCGCCCACAGCAGAAAACCAAAGACTCGACCTCTCGACCACCGTCCGCAAACCCATGCCTTGGCATGAGCAAATCTCCAACGCCCGCACCGACCTCATCAACGACACCGTTCCCCCCCTCCAAGCCCTCGCCCAACGCCTCCTCCTCCAAACCTTCAGCACAACGTCCATCTCTTCAGCTGCATCCGCCCTTCTCTACCTCTCCATGTCCTCCTTCTCGGTCTTCGAAGCCTCGGCCGTCGCAGCCCTCGGCCTCACCTTTTCACTGCGCCGCATGCAGAAATTGTGGGAGGGCGCCCGCGAGAGCTGGCAAGCTACCGTCCGCGAAGAAGGCAGACGCACGCTCAAGAGTACGGAGGAAAGGGTAAGGTTTGTTATCGAGAATGCGGAGACGAAGGTGGTGGTTGAGGAGGAGGATGTGAGGGAGAGGAGGTTGGCGCGGGAGGCTGTGAGGAGGGTGCGTGAGGTTTTGGGGAAGATGGAGGGGAAAGAAGAGGAGAAGGAGAAGGGACAGGGTGTATGATAGTGTAACATAGAATTCATATGCTTGACTGCTCGTATGATTTTGTCGATGTGTTTTTGCGTCGTGATATGTAATGTCGGGCTCAGACTTGATGAAATACTGGAGAAATGTATGTGTGGCGTGATGGAATAGCGAAATGTGTATGTATTGCTTACGCTAGATACTGTACATCCCGTACTACTGCACAGTAACAGGAATGAGATTCAAGTAAATGCAGGAATATGAGTGAAATGTGGGCAATGGGTTTAAGAAGGGATTCTTAAGAGATGTAATTCTGGTTTGAAGATGGTACATTGAGTCTCGAGTTTGGAACAACAGTTAACGAAAAAGCTATACGCCGTGATTTATGTGCAGGGTGCAATCTTTTCAACACTATGTAATACATCATTACAATCCAGGCTCACTACTCAAAGACGGCCTAAAGAAAGTTATGAAAAAATGAGTGGGATTGGCTAGAACAACTACGAAACAATTGCAAGATACTGTAATGACTGTCCCCCAAGATACATAGCAATTTGTCCAGCTTACTGAATATCGATAACCTCCCTCAGCAATGGCACTTAAAACTCTTCTCCGAGCCTGGGCTTGCCGCCCTTCCAATCATCCCTCTCGTAGTAACGGAAGACAAGATCGTATCCATCCAAGTCATGGACGATACGATCAACACGACGGTAGCCGGGGATCACCTCCATTCTCTTGCCCTTGTCGGCGTTCTTCAAGGGAAGCTCATCAGCGGTGGGCTTGGCCTCGAAGAGAGTAACGCTGAACCTGCCAGGCTTGAAGATACCGACAACATGCTCAACAATGTCGGCAGTCTCGCGACCACTCTGGCGAGCAGGCACGTTGGTCTCAAAGGAAGCGTAAGAGCATTGGGGCTCAGGAGTGACGTGCACAGTAAAGTAGTGCGTAGCGTCAGAGCCCTTCTTGGAACCATTGGGAGCACCGCCAGGAGCAGGGACGACACCATTAGCAGAGAAGCCGCATGGCGTGAACAGATAAGCATCAATACGAGCATCGGGATACTTGGTGGTAGGGTAGACGTCGGCTAGACCGCAGTGTTCGGAAACGACCGTACCAAGTGTGTGACCTTCGGTGGTCAGCTCCTCAGGGAAAGTAAGCTCCTCGTCAGAGCTAAAGCCAGAGTGGTCAGAAGATGTCTGCTCGAAGACGTCGAAGCTGTCATCTGAGGTGTGGGTGTTGGCAGCTGAGTTGAGGACAGTAGAGCCACCCAGACTCTCGGTGTGGCCATTCTCTTCCGAAATGGTACCCAGGGATTGGATAGCGTTTTTGCGAGCCTCACGGACTCTCTGGAGGTAGCGACCTTCCGCAACCGCACTTGCGTCCTCTAGATAGAACTGACGGGCGTTCTTCTCGTCGAGGTCGGTCATCAGAACCTCCAGAGTCTCATCCTCCTCCTCATCGGTGGCCTGCTCGCGCAAGAGACGCTGAGGGTGGCTTACAAATTTGGTCTCGGTATCTGGCTCCGACCTCTCCTCACCTGGGCTGGGAGGAGGAGTGAGGCTGGTGTCGGGACCTGTGATGTAGAGATACCAGTGCTCGCCGTTCATCTTGCCAATCATGTAGGCGCTGCCGCCCTTGAAGCGGTCATCAAGGTAGCGGACTTCGTCGCGCCAGCTGCGGTGGGGGCCGCGCTGCTGGTCGGGGTAGAGGAAGTTCTTCCTACTGTAGAAAACGCGGTATGGTGTGGCAGCTGGAGCGACGCCCGATGCCTTGGGGGCGACATAGGGAAAGCCAGCATTGGCAGCGATTTCCAGCATGCGGGTCAAGCCCCAGAGCAGAGTAGTAGTGCCACAGGTCTTGAGTACGACCTTGTGGGGGAAGACAAACATGCTCGACTCAGATAGAAGATAGGCATCGACATGCTCAGACTCAATAACGGAGAGAACCTTGCAGTTGACCAGATCGAGCATGTCCTTCCATACTTCGGCTGACACCTTCTTCAAGCCGAGAGGGCCGGCCTGTCCAGGGAGCTCAGTAGCAGAGGGGCTGAACCATACTTCCAAAAGCTTCTCCGGACCTTCAAACGAGTTTGTAGAATCGAGGTCGATGGTAGCCTCCTTGTTGATGGTCAAGTGAGGGGTGCCAATGTGCGACGAAGGCGAGGCAGTGTAGTGCTGCGGGATCTCGGTAGCGACCATTTCGTTTACTGTATGACTGGCACAGGTTCTGGATTTATCTAGCTGGAAAGCGGTTTGCTGGTGTTGAATAGAGCAAACTGGGAGGGTAGGCTAGCTGTGAAGCTATGTGCAGCACAACCTCGCTCAGACAAGCAATGCGGTGCTCGCCTGAGAAGAATTGGCCCACGGGTCGTGAGGGTTGGGCGAGGCTGGCGTGTGCCAGCAGCAGTGGACGTGGAAGTGTAAGAGCGACCGTAGTCGATGTTAGGGAGGGCGCGCGTTGAGGGGGATAAACGAGGCCTTTCGCCGGGAAATGGTGGCAGCCGATGGGGTCCTCGATACCAGATTCCGATACCCTGGGGAAGTATCGGGTCCAGCAGACGAGGAGATCTGCTTCAAAGACTAAGAAAGAAGGATGGTGGGGGGGAAGCGGGTGTTGTAGTTGGTGTTATCGAGGCCTATGGGCAGAGGTCAGCGCCGTGTTCGCAGCGAATGTTGTGTTTACGCAGAACTGCTCGTGGAAGAGGCAGAACTCACTTCGCAGGCTTGGACAGAAAGCGTGCCAGGTCCTCGCGACGCATAGAATAGCCGAAGCAGGCGACGACAGACGGACTGCTGGCTACAAAGGCCTATGCAACAGCAGAAGCTGGAGAAAACAGCGCGTCTGCCAGCGTGACGACGGTGTTTTGATAGGGGCGTAGAGCACAGAGATTAAACAATGGACGACCACAATGTTGGGCGCTGACGACCGACTGTGAGCAATCAGTCGCCAAACTCTTGCAATCAAAAGTGCGGGGAGGCGGATGCAGGCGCAGACGAGAGAGAAGCAATAAAGCGACGTGTGACTGGGTAGAGGAAGAGGGAGAAGCAGGAATATACGTACAGCGGACGATGTTATGAGGTGGGCAGAGGGAGTAAAATTCTACGTGGCAGCAGTTGTTGGGGCGACGTTGTGGAAGCTTTGGGCCTTCACGCGACAGGCATTTTTTGACGAGTGCGGTGTTTTTGCAGCGAGACGTCACCGCCCATTCCAAAGTGGCTGGAGCGTTCGCGCCAAACGGCCGCTTGGGGCCCGACGCTGCCTAAACTTAGCCAGGCGACGTCATCACGTCAGGTACATGCGAAGAGTTGTCTCTTTTCTTCTTTGGCATTTACCTTCTCGATTTATCCCTCATCAATTCATTTATCCATCCATCTACTAAAATTCACCCACCTCTCCCTCCCCCCATTACTATTGCCATCATCATAATCCTCTCATCTCATCCCGCACCAGATGTACTAGCCCAATGCCATGTCATACCATATCACATGCAATAATGCAAAAAACCTCACCCCCAGAACATAACCATGCCAGATCCCCATATCCCCATATCCCCTTGTCGACTACCCGACAAAACCGCCCACCGCCTCTGCTCTGCTCCGCTCCGCCGCGGTATCATCGGTATCATCGGCTCCAGGATATGCCAGCCTCTTGTGCCGCAGTGCCACCGCCTTAAATGACCGGCATACTCCCGGCGACCAGCAACACGCATCCCTACACTTACATACGCCATGGTACCGCTATGCCTTTTGCAGCCCCTCACAGCCTCCACCTTAGTCTTTTCCCAGCTATAGCAAACATACTGCAGCCATCATATACCTATAGCCTCAATCCACACCTCTTACTACCTCACCTACCCCTTCTGGTACTTTGAATACGATCCGTCCTTTCTCCACCATGCTGCTGAAACACTCCCGCAAATCAATTACTAGCGTGTCGGGCGTCTCGAATCCTGGTAGCATCGCGGATCGTCCGCTGTGTCGCTTGACCCACGACATGTCCCAGAAACTAGTCCCCCACATCAGAGGCGCAGAGGAATTGCTATTGTGCGGAAGAAATGTCGATACTCCGAGTGGTGTCAGTATATGATTGGAATACCATGGAGCCATTGTGTCCATGTATGCACTGCGCAGCCAGCGAAGAGCCTAAGATTGTTTATCAGCCGTCATACAGAATTGGGGGCCGAATTGGATGAGGCTCACTTACCGCTTCAGGCCCCGGCAGCCACTGCAACATTGTAAAATTTAACACCTCTGTCGGACTCCATGTATATCTCTTGCCATCGCTCTCCTCTTCTCTTGCAGTATAGTCTGGAGACTGTGGCATGAGCCCCGATGGTACTTGACCAACCTCAACCTGCTCCTCATCACTCTGCTGCATCTCCAGCTCAACCGGCGAAAGAAACGGGCTCCTCGGCCTGCCCGAAAATGGCCGCGGAGCAACATCTCGTGTATGGATGACATCCAAGAGTGCTGCAAGCAGACCAACGGGCGAGTCACATAGTGAAAACGCCAGTGTCTGCGGTCGAAGCGAGTAGAGACGATGTAGTGCCGGCCCCAACGGTCGACTACTATCAATCTCATTTTCGGTCCCCAAGTCCTCCCTCCGCTGTCCAGATCGTGGTTCGACATCGCTACCAACATATCCAAAACTCAACAACGGTACCTTTGCCTGCGTCAACTCCGCAATCCGCCACTTGACATACTGCAGCGGACTCCGTCTATACGTCGGTGCCTTGAACGCCGGATTGACTGTATGCACGGCGAGACAAGCTTTCGGGTACCGTATCGCTAGCACACGACAAATACTAAATCCCCTGCTGGATTGTCAACACTGAACTAGCACTCATACACGTAACAAACTCACCACCCTGTCCCATGCGCAACAAACTCGCTATACCCTAGTTTCCCCATCAATTCCGAAAACACTTCTGCTGTGCCCTCCAACCCAAAACCCTCCTGCATACTTGCATCACTAAACCCGAAACCAGGTATACTCGGCGCTACAACGTGAAATGCCTGGGGTATCGCACCACCCATATCAGGTACGTACTGCGGTTCCGTCAGCGCATTGATGATGCGTTGGACCTCTATAAACGACGAGGGCCATGTGTGTGCTAGTAGCAGCGGGATAGCGCCCGGTCTCGTCGATCGCTTGTGTACAAAGTGCACGCGGAGAGATTGCGTTCCTGCCGCTGATGTGGTACGGATCGTTGTACGGAATTGGGGAAGAAGGGAATTGAAGCGGGATTCGGCGGCGCGCCAATCGTAGGTTTCTAGCCTGGAGATGGGTTAGTTTATTTGGAAAAAGTGATACTACTCGTTGAAGGGAACGAATGCATGGAGGGGGGGGGGGAAGGAGAGTTGAATACAGTACCAAAAATCCAACAAAGGCTCAAGAACACGCTTCGGTGTACCATGCTCCCACATTCGCTCTTCGGGTAATTCCAGTTCCCGTGGCAAACGTGTCAATTCGAGTTTCTTCCTTGTGAGCTCGAGGTATTTGGACGATACCTAATCTTCATGTATCAGCAAGATGTGTGGAGTGAAAAAAAATGGGGAGATACAGTACATGCATACTATACGTAGTTATAACCTCATCGCCATGTGCTACAGACCCCATGGTGTATACTATTACCCCCAACAGGGTATTCGTTTAGTATCGAAATCCCCGAGAAAAAGAACAACACTCCACGTAACAATGTCAATATCGAATACAAACACCACTTAACAACTTAGAGCAATGTAGTAACAAAAATAATCACCAAAAAAAAACACAAGAATGCACTACCAAGTCGGAGAGAAAAAAAAAGGGTCCATGAAAGTACAAGGTGTGCCTAGACCACCACCCTATCTATACCCCCCCGCTCCTTCCCCATACGCAAAGCAAGAGATCATCCCTCGTCACCACACGGCACAACACCGCACACACAGCTTGCGCGTCTCCGCATAACAAGCCTTCAAGCCACCAAACCGCCCATCGCCGCCAAGGCGGTCTAGAAACCCGGACGAGGAGACGGGGGATTAAAATCCACATCTACTACTTGCTACAACCGTCGGGGGGCGTTGGTGTGGCAAACGGAATAGTAGTGTACTTTTAAACTTACGGGGGGACTGTGTGGCTGTGCAAAAGGTACTAAGAGGGGTGATCGGCAAAAGCAACACCAGAATATGGATTGTAGGGCTTAAAAGTGTATAAAACAAGGCACACCAATCAGAGGGTCAAATAGTAATAGTTGGTCTTTATCCCGAAACCCAGTTGTAAGTGTAAAAAGAACACTAGTGGCAAAAAATGTCTTTATTCGCCGCCTCGTTCCCCGTCTGGTTCGAGGTGCAGAAAATAAAGGGCTTCGCAAGTAATATGCATGTACGCTTTAATTTTAAACGGATCATCTAACAGGTTACTTTGATAAAAACAAGGCGCGAGCGAAGGCTTATACGTCTCTCACGCTCGCAGCGCCGGGGTGACCGCTGCTCGAGGGTGAGCGTTGCGCGGCTTGAGCAGCCACGCCGCGCAGGTTGAGCGAGCCAATTCGCTGCACTAGATTACTGCCCACGGCATCTACAGCGCCTCGCGGTTGCAGGAGCGAAGGAGCTGTAGCAGCTGCTTCTTGCACCTTGAATAGCCGGATGCTAGTGTTGTTCCATACCCCAGCCGTGCCCTTTGCTACAAGCATCTCCGCTGCGAAGACGAAACCCCATAGTAGCGACTCGTACCAACCAAGCGACAGCGGGGACCATTCGAACAAGTGCAGCCTAATCGGGGAAGGCTCAATGCCGCGCACTTCGGTCTCCCAAATGATCTTCAGAGCTTCTGCTGTATCATTGGAGTTTCCTGAAGCGGGCAGCTTGGGCCCAAGCTCCGATATCAGCATGAGGATAGTATGTAGCGGCAACTCCGAAAGCCATCCTTCCAACTAAAGACCACGTTAGCAAATGTGTATGGTTGAAATGAAATGACTTACCCATGGGACAGACGGAGTAAAGAACTCATTGGAAGCCATTGCCGGACCGGCTGCGCTGTGCAAGCTCGTCATGCTGTTTTGCCTAGAAAATGCTGGCTGGCCCACTGGTCGCTTGCCTCGTGCCTTTTCTGACATACCCCTTAGTTGCAAAGGTACTGAATCATCCACAGACGAGGCTATTGACGCACTTCTTGAAGCGCCCGAAGGTGATTGTGGAGGAGATCTGATTGGTCCGGATGTGCGCGACGCATCTGCTTCCTCGTCCGAATCATCGTCGTCGCCAATTGCAAAAGCGCTGTCTTCTTCTGGCACATTGCCCAGGGTGGGTGTTCGCGCGACTGTCGGGCTTCTTAGACTGTCTAAAGAGTTCGTGCGTGTCATGTCCTCTCCGCCCTCCTTCCGCAGTTGGTTCTGGCGCTCGAGCTCCTCTTGGCCGCTTTCAAGTGTGAAGTCTCGGAGCGCTTGGAACCGCTTCCGTGAACGAACAATCGCGTAGACGAGATTTGGGTTGTCTGTCGATAGTTCAGTAACTGGCACATGGTGATTCTAGTGAACATACTTACGCGGATATTGGTGCTCTATTATGGCATTCAAGACCTCCAAGAGCGAGTGCAGAAGTGTGTGGTTGTTTTCATTGGCAAGCAAGAAGCTAGGCGAAGACATGGATGCAAAGAGCTGCAATAGCTTTGAGCTAGTCGCCCGTCCAAGATTCTGAACGTAAGCGGCAATGTTGTTGAGTATTGCAAGTAGTGCAGGGTATATCGCATCAAGTTTGCCTTTGCTGGTGGTGAGAAGAGTGTAGATTGACTGGTGTGGTCAGCAGACGTATGGCGATTGTTGGTCGGGCTACATACTGTGATGACATAGTCGGCATATGTGCCATGGAAGTTTGGTATCCGGATGCTGGCTGGAAGCGACTCTTGGCCTTCAAATGTCTTATTGAGGCTCTTGCCAAACTGTGGCTCGACGCTTAGTGTCTGGAGCACGAAGATGCACATGCGCACAAGACCCTGCTTGGAGGGATCGTTGCGCTGATCAATGGCATAGTACAAAACCAAGACAACAAAGTCATGGGCTCTGTCGGTATCGATGATGAAGGAGCGGAAGCGCTTGTTGCATTGCAGCGCCTCCCAGAAGAGCATGATCATCTCCGGTGCCCATGTCAGTGACTTGTGACTGCCGGGGAGATAGGACGTGTTTGCTTGGAGCTAGCAAGTATTAGCCAAGGGATATGTAGTAAATTGCGTGTTGCGTACCGGCTGGTTGAGGATTCTTGTCATGCCATCAACGAGAAACTGGAAATCTTGTGGACGGTGCAGACGACCAAGGAAGTGACGGAAGAAATTCTTGGGCGCTGGGCCATTGCCGGGCTCGGGGATGGGGTACAGGACGAGTACCAATAGTAGCTGCAAACAGTACGTGACCAAAATCTGCCGCTGGTCCTTGAAGACGACGTGGTCGTAGGGCACGCGCCATGTTGCGGGGTTGTACTTGAGCGTCTGTGGGGGATCAGCGGGTACACAAGCAAGCGACCAAGGACACGCACAGTATTGAGGAGCGAGCAGAGCACGGATAAGACGACTTGCTTGTCTGGACATGTGGCGATGTATGTGATTGCCTTGACGCCTTTTACTGGCAGTACACCTGCAATTGGTTAGAATCGAGTTGATGTGCGCGCATGGTAGGATGCATACCCGCCGACATGTACATGGACTTGCTGGCCAGGGTGAGAAGCAGGCGCAAGATCTCAGTCCTGTTACTTTCAAACTCCTTTGTGGATGCGACGGGCGTATTGCAGCCGACGCCGCTCTGCCAGATGGCATAGCTGACCTTATTCTTGCCTGGGGCTACCTTTGGCAGGGTGAAGTTGGAGAAGAAGAGCAAGTCGATGAGGGTGTCGATGATCTCCTCGGCCAGCGGCTTGGCCTTTTCAAACTCGGGCTCCTTCTCTGTGGGCGTCTGTTCCGGGTCGGCCTCGTCGAAGATGACCTCGCTGCGCACAAGCTGGCCTCTACGACTGCGCTTGCGACGCTCAGCCCAAAAGAACTGGTCTTCCCACGTATCGAGGTGATCGGCTTCGTACAAAAAGGGTAACAGGCGGGTGAGGACACGGATGCAGTTGAGGGCATCGCGCTCCGGAGCGAGGTCAGGGTCTGGGAACGAGGGGTGGTTGCGCAAGACAATGAGGCGCGATGTGACTGCGAGCACCAGCGTCTCGAGGTTGGCTAGGTTGTTGTCGCGGGTGCGGCGAATGTCTGCGGGCGAGAAGAGGGAGAAGACATCTTCGGTCGATTCGGGTAGCTCCCAGAACTGGCGGTGATAGTCAGCAGAGGAGCAGGATATGAGTTCAGCAGACGGCATACACCGGTCCAGTAGACATCGTCGGCAGGGATCTGCTTGGGCTCAGACAGGCGGAAGATGCCCTGCTTGAAGGAGAGTTTGGAGTCGGATGCGCCCATTGGGAAGCATGCTACGTCTTCATGCGCTCATTCTGCGGGGGAGAGTGTCTATATGTGGGGGGTGTATGTATCTACGGGTGTGGGCGAGTGTTTATCTGTGTAGTATGTGTGTACTCTGGCCAGAAAGCAGCGCAGCCTCGCTGACAGGGACAAGGTGACGTCGGCCGCCCAGCTGCACACCCACCCGACCCAATCCACCCCCGGCCATTCACATGTTTTCGCGTCTCGGCGCGTTGTCTTCTTCTACACACACACATTGTAAATTTATACATTTTGTTTGTCTCGCTGACACTTGTCATGTGTATGTTTACATGACTTGTACCAGCGTCCTCACTAGTAAAGTCACTGGGTTCTGGGCTCTGCTGCAGGGACAGTGCCGCTTTCTTTACTAGCCTTACATAATCACTGCACTGCCCTATCCATGGTACATCATAGCCACGACTGCTGCCTGCGCATCCCATCCCTTCTTATTCCAGTCCCGTCCGCCCGTCCTTCTCTTCTTCCTTCTTCACCCTCGCCCGTTCCTACCCTCACCCCCGTGTCCTCGTCTCCAGCCGTCCATCTGTAAATTCTAACGCCCGGCGCGCGCCCTTGCCACCCGCACTCCGTTACATAACAGAGAACGCCGCCACCATGCCGCCAAAACGAAAGCTTGCGCAGACGGCTGCTGACGCTGAGGCCGAGGATGGCTGGGACGATAACGACGAGGGCCCTATGAGCGATCAAGAGACGTTCGATCAGCTCAAGGAAGAGTTCGATGTCAAAGCCATGACGAAGCGCGCGCGCGCTGGCCGTGTCCGCGACGCCGCAGCAGATCTCTTCAGAAAGTCGGATCAATGGAGTGCGCCCCTCAAGTCGGACCATTACAACCGTCCGCTATGGGTCAATGATGCAGGCGGAATCATCCTCGAGTCCTTCCATCCTCTCTTCGATGAAGCTCAGGACTTTTTGATCAACATCGCCGAGCCGCAGTCGCGTGTCTCCAAGATGCATGAATACCAGCTCACAACCCACAGTCTGTTCGCCGCCGTCAGTGTTGGTCACTCTAAGCAAGAGATCATCGAGAAGCTTGACCGCTACTCCAAGACTGCCCTGTCTGAAGCCATTATCCAGTTTGTTGAAAAGTCCACGTCCGCTTTCGGTAAGGCCAAGATTGTGTTGAAAAAGACGCTGTCCTACATAGAAAGCGAGGATCCTGCGATCCTCCAGAAACTCCTCCGCGACCCCGTCGTCGCAGAGTGCAGGGCTGATACAACCGATGGCCTCATCAAGGAAGCTGCACCCAAGATCGGCCAGATGGCGATCCCAGGTACCAAGCTAGCCGCTGGTGCAAACAACATGGCACAACAGCAACAGCCGGAAGCTGCTCAAAATCCTGCTCCCAGCGATATGATTGCTACATTGCGCGAGGACGACGACGATGACGAGGTCGCCCAAGTCCACTCGTTCCAGATTAAGAGTGAGGAGCGTGAAAAGGTCGTGAAACGTTGTCGGGCCATTGGTCTACCACTGACTGAAGAGTACGACTTCAACAATGACGATACCAATCCAAACTTGGAAATCGATCTCAAGCCGCACGCCCAGATTCGATACTATCAGGAGAAGGCTCTTAGTAAGATGTTTTCAAACTCTCGTGCCCGTTCAGGAATCATAGTGCTGCCATGCGGCGCAGGTAAGACCCTAGTCGGCATCACAGCTGCCTGTGGTGTGAAGAAATCCGTCATTGTCCTGTGCACAAGTGCCATGTCCGTTGTTCAGTGGCGCGCCGAATTCATCAAGTGGTCAAACATCAATCCAGAAGATGTGGCCGTCTTCACGGCAGACAACAAGACCCGCTTTCCTCGTCAGGCTGGTATCATTATCAGTACCTACTCTATGATCAGTAATGCCAGGAAGCGTTCGCACGATGCGGAAAAGGTCATGCAGTTCATTCGTGGACAGGAATGGGGACTGCTGATAGCTGATGAAGTGCACGTGGTGCCTGCCAACATTTTTAAAAAGGTCACCTATGAGATTGCATCACACGCAAAACTTGGCTTGACCGCCACTCTCCTTCGAGAAGATGACAAGATTGATGATCTCAACTTTCTCATTGGCCCCAAGCTCTACGAGGCCAACTGGCAAGAGTTGTCAGAACAAGGACATATTGCCAAAGTGCAGTGTGCAGAAGTTTGGTGCCAAATGACGCCTGAATTCTACACTGAATGGCTCAAGCCTTCGTCGCTGCAGAAGCGTGCTTTACTATCAATCATGAACCCAAAGAAATTTCAAGCCTGCCAGTTCCTCATCAATTACCACGAATCACGAGGCGACAAGATTATCGTCTTTTCGGACAATGTGTACGCCCTGGAGAAATACTCGCGTAAGCTTGGAAAAGCATACATTTACGGCGCAACCCCACAACAAGAACGTCTTCGTATCTTGGAGAACTTTCAACACAACGAGCTCGTCAACACCATTTTCCTTTCAAAGATTGGCGACACCAGCTTGGATCTTCCAGAAGCGACATGTCTGATTCAAATTTCATCGCATTACGGCTCACGTCGTCAAGAGGCGCAGCGACTGGGCAGAATTCTGCGAGCCAAGAGGAGGAATGACGAGGGCTTCAACGCCTTCTTCTACTCTCTCGTATCCAAGGACACGGACGAAATGTACTACTCATCCAAGCGACAAGCTTTCCTTGTTGATCAAGGATATGCCTTCAAAGTCATCACCCGTCTCGAAGGACTTGAAAACTTTTCGCAGCTGGCATTCGCGACACCGCAAGAGCGGCGAGAGCTACTCATGGATGTCCTGCTTGCCCGTGAAGAGGATGCCAAGGAAGAAAGAATCGAAGGCGATGCGTTTGGCACAAAGTACGCTTCGAACAAGGGCAACAAGAAGAAGTTTGGAGTCCGGAGAGCGGCTGGCACACTTTCTGAATTGTCTGGCGGACAGACTATGGCGTACATGGAGGTCAACAAGAGCAGGAATAAGGAGCTCAAGGGAACAAAGGGTGTCCAGAATGCTTTTATGAGGAAGCTTGCGAGGTCAGGGGCCAAGAAATAAGGCTTTTGCTCTTTCATCTTATGTTCATCAAATTTGTTTGTTGTGTGGCTTTATGTTTAGGAGCAAACAATAGACAAGTAAAGTCGGGTGGCTTTACCAACAGAATATCGAATCATTTCAACCCCAATGGCGTTGACAATCTCTGAGCTGTATTACCTACATCTAGCGGAGAGCAACAACTTGTGAGGTGGACGGGTCTACATCAAGCAAAGATCCTTTCTTGTTGCAACAGAGAACCCCATCTTCTTCTTAAACAGATTATCGTGTATCGAAATCGATTGCAAGTTTGTCAACGCTATTCTGCTACCAATGCTCATAGTAATAATTCTTACGGGTGACTTCAGCAGCTCGTTTCTCACCCCGTACTCACACTACCTTGGCATAACACTGCTAGGAGCCTCGACTCCTCCCGCCTCGATAATCCCGAATATGCCAGCTTCAGTCGCTGGTGACAATACAGTGCTCTCTACATCACAGTGAGTTCCTCCAACGTGTGCGGCTATGTTTCAGCCGGCCAGGGGGGTGCATGTAGTTAGCAAGAGCTATACGAATCCGACTTTGTATCATAAACATTGGCAAATTCTTCTTCTTCTTCTGCATAGATCGATTGACAATTTTTTTTTCTTTTCTTCCAGTTTGGCGTTGGAGGCTGCGGGACGAACAAACTCAAACGCCAAAGCCTGTAATCCATCTGAACCTCGAGCAAACTCATCAACGATCCGTCTCAATTCACTTCATCTCATATATTTTTTTATGCAAATCTGCAAAGCATGTGCACAAAGAAACAGGTCTGAGTTGTATTTTCAAAACGCCAATTATCGAGTTCTTGTAACTCTTGTAGTATTACATACTAGATACGAAAAAAAACAATCGCTCTTTTACGAGACTTCAAAGCCTTCAATGTCGCCCTTGGCATGATAATCACGGATTATACGCTCATATGCGGCGGTGCCACCGCCATAGAGCACCTTTCGCATAGCCAGACGGCGCCTTTCGGGGGAGCTAGCAGCATTGCGTGTTGTGGCACCCTCATGATTAAAGTAGCCTGGGGTGCAAGGGAGCACGACTGAGTACCATAGGGCACGCTTCTCAACCTCATCTGTCCAAGAGTCCTCGGCTTGTTTGCTGGGCTGAATAACAAGCTTTGTTGGGTCAGACACACGACTAGTAGCTGTTTTTAGGATATTAGCAATATGTGTAGCCTCGATATCAAAGACAACGGTAAGGTTAGGTGAGCCAGGACCACCGCCAAGGCCAGCCCAGATTAGGTTAGGGAACCCATTTGTAGCGATACCGTGGAGGGTGCCAAAGTCAGGCGAGTTGTACTTATCCTTTAGGCGGCGACCGTTGCGGCCAACGACGGGGATGCCAAAGAACTCAGCAGGGGCAGTATTGTCGCCAGTAGCTAGTAGGAAGCCTGTAGCGAGGATAAGCACGTCGAGTTCATACTCGACGCCGTCAACAACGAGACCGCGCTCGGTGCAGCGCTCGACACCGTGGCCGTCGGTGTCGACGAGCGTAACGTTGGGCTTGTTGAAGGTGGGCAGGTAGTCGTCCTGGAAGGTAGGGCGCTTGCACCACATGGGGTACCACGGCTGCAGGCGCTCGGCGGCAGCCTTGTTTTGGCTAACTGTGTCGCGGATGGCTGCGCGAGCCTGGTGAGTTAGCGGGTCGTCGATTTCCTTGAGCTTTTGCAAGTGCTCCCCGACCTTGTCAGGAGAGACGATGCGTGAGCCGCCAATGAAACCGGCAAAACCGCGAGCCGTCTTGGTCCAGCCATCGGCGACGAGATCGGGGTAGTCGGGCGGGGGGTCTTCGCCGGCGAAGAAGGCGTCGAAGTTGAGGCTGCGAGCCCGCTGCCAGCCGGGACCAGTCGCAACCTCACGTGACCATTTGTCCATATCAGTCGGTTCCTGGTGACGGGGGCCGCAGTACGAGGGCGTTCGCTGGAAGACAAGCAGCTGGTCGGCCCAGCGCGCAACCTCAGGTACCACCTGCACCGCCGTTGAGCCCGTACCCATAACGCCCACCCGTTTGCCCTTCAGGCCTGACAGAGTGTAGTCTGTCGGCGAGCCGCCCGTGACGCTGTAGTCCCAGCGTGCCGTGTGGAAGACGGGAATGTTGGCCTGCAGCTTTTCAAAGCCTTCTAGCTTGGGCATGCGCGGCGCCGTGAAGAGGGTGCTGGACGGCATAAGGAACTGTGTCAGTATCGTAAACACCTCGCCCGCCCCAACGCCACGCTCCCGTTGCATGCGCACCACCCACCGCCGCCGCTCCTCATCCCAAGTCGCATCTAGCACCCGTGTGGAGAACTGTCCGCGCAGCCCAAAGTGCCTAGCCACTCGCTCGCAGTGCTGGCGGATCTCCTCGCCCGACGGATACTTGCGCGAGGGCACGTAGCCCGTCTCCTCCAGAAAGGGCATGTAGATATAACTCTCAATATCGCACTGTAGCCCAGGATACCGATTCCAGTACCAAGTCCCGCCAAAGCCGCCTGCCACGTCCACCAGACATATGCCCTGGGCTGAGAAGCCCGCCTGGACTAGTCGTCCTGCCGTGATCAACCCAGCGTGGCCTGCTCCGATCATGAGGAACTGTATATCGTCACCATCCTTAAGCGGTCCTCTCTCCAGTTCAGCATCCACCCATGGGTCGTCAGAGAGTGGTTTGTCTTGTTCGCTGGGTAAGCGGCTGTACTGTTGCGTGCCATCCTCCCGTAGTCGCTTGTCTCGCTCCTGCGCATATCGCGCTTCCAGCTCCCTTTGCTCAGCTATAGCCATTGTTGTGTTGCCTCGTGTCCGTCCGTCCTTTCAAGATAGATGAGAAATCTGATTGAAATGCGTCGGCGAGGGTGAGACGACGTGCTTCCCTCAATGTCTGGCCTTGACTGACCAAGCCGAGCCCTTTTATCGGCCCAATACTCTCCTCCGTCCATATGCGCTGCTCCTGTCTCTTCCAACTCTTTTGCCCCATCCTTGATCCGCTCGGGTCGATCAAGCATAAAGTCGAGAGTGGTGGGGCCATCATGTCGGACCCCGACGTCTACCAAAATCCACCGTGCACGTGCGTATTTTAGTACTAGTAGTAAAGTGGGAGCCGCAAGTTGGCTCGTGCGCGCTATCCGGTATGCTAACCCAACGTCCTGTAAAGTACTACTACAATTTCGATACCAGTCTAGCTGCTGTAAAGCCGCTTATTATCTGCTGGGGAGATACTTGGGAGGCATGACAGCCGAGCCTTGCCCAATTGTATAGACTAATATGACTAAGGACTTGATCCTAGGACCATGACCTTACAGCTTATCTCTACCTGGGCATTGGATATCATCCAAACTATACATATTGTGCACATTTATACTAGGAGCCACTATTCAATTCATCTAGTGTCGTGGTATTGTAAATCGCTCCAACGGGACTAGATTCGCTCAAGACACGTACGAATAATTTGGCAATCACTACTGTGCTTCAATATCATCTTCCTGTGGTACCAGGCTAATCATGTGTTGTTTGGGCACAACTGAGATACCAGGCCCTAAATAGTTCCTTGTCTGGAAAATTATCTGTTTCGCTAGGTGCATTCACCTACGGGAGAAACAAGTCCCCCGCAACGACTGCAAAACAAGAATGACTCAGACCAGGGTCCATCAACTCTAGAGATTTGTGCAGCCGCCTAGTATTAAGTTCTGGCTTGGCTGTTGTCCTAAAGAAACGAAAAAGTGTGGCGAATTCTTTCTCCAGTCCGTACCCAGTGCTACCTACTTTTGACTCTCTTACTATCCACTGCACCCATGCGGATGCGATTGGAAAAGCATTACAGGTGTGACACACTTACTAAACATACAGGAAGCAGATTGCGGAGGCTCTAACTAGGTCAACTGCGTCGAGGTTTCTGGTGATCTCGTACTCCACCAGCTCTTTCACAACAAATGTACCGACAACCACTCAAACTCACCGAGACAGCTTGCATGTGGTATCTAGTTCGTTTCAAAATACGGACAAATCAGTGGAGAGGATGCAGATTCAAGACAATCTCAGCCTGAGGAGACTATATATTTTAAGTAGCAGTTTGCACTCCAAGTGTTAGCTATCCAAAGACAGTCCGTTCTTAGTCTATTCTTCTACTACTGAATTCTCTTGATCATTTGGTCCATCCAAGTAAAACTACATAGACAATATGTCGTCGACACAGTACATCGCCACGGAGACAATAACTGCTCCACAGTCGTCCATCTCGTCAAGGCCTAAGAATTTGGCGCCTCGACCCTTTTCCTGGCGACCATACTTGGAGCTCACACGCTTCAGTAAGCCCGCTGGTCTCTTGGGCGTCTACTTCCCCTATTTCATAGGACTCCTCTACTCGGTCAATCTGACCAACCCGAGAGGCCTAACCCCAGTCGACTGGCTCAAGCTCATCGCTGTCTTACTGCTCGATGGTCTGCTTATCCGCAGTCTCGGCTGCGCCTGGAATGACACTGTCGACCAAGATCTCGATCGCCAGGTCGAGCGCTGCAAGAAGCGGCCGCTCGCCCGTGGCGCAATTACGACACCAGAAGCACTCGCTGCCACACTCCTCCTCGCCCTCGCCCGCCACGCCTTACTTTACGCAACGCTGTCACCTCGTGCAAACCAGCACGCCCTGCTGACCACCATCTTGGGCTTGACTTACCCTTTCATGAAGCGCATCTGCAACTACCCACAGCTCTGCCTTGGTCTGGGTGTAGGATGGGCTGTTTTCCTGGTTGACGCTGCTGTCGCCGATGGCTATGGTGCTGGCAACGTCTCTGGATTCAATAAGGAGGACCGCAACAAAGCTACATTTGCCATATTCGCTTCCCAGGCCCTGTTCAACATCACTTACGATACTATCTATGCCTTCCAGGACATTCGGGACGATCTCAAGGCAGGTGTGGGTTCGCTCGCTGTGGCTGTGCGTCATCAGCCCAAGTTGTTTCTGTTGTCCGTTGCAAGCGCTATGGCCGCATTCTTGTGGGTCACCGTATCCTGCGGCCGTCTCGTACTCGGCCCATCCCGGGCTGGTGCTGTCTTTGCTTCCATCTCCACACTAGTCATGTTGACCCGGATCGATGTGTGGAACCCGCGTATGTGCAGGGACTTCTTCGTGAACAGCCAGTGGTGGGTGAGTGGCGCTTTGCTGGCTGGTCTTTTGGGAGAACTTGTCATGAACAACTTGCAAATCTAAGACTCAGCAATCGGAGCGATATCTAATAAGAGTGGTGTAGTTTAGTATCACTTTATTAGGCCACAGTCATATATTGCGATTTCCTTTCATGCGTAGATAGTGATATTTCTTCAATAAATCCTTTAACAGCAATATGTTCTAGCTTTGCTCTACTAGCTTGATTACGGGTCACCCCTTGGTGCTTTTCCAGCTCAATCTCATATTAGACTATATTATCTATAATTCAAAGTGATAACAAGAAATAAATATTAGCAGAACTGTGACAATACCCGAATCAGCTCCACCAAAGGTGCCACGTGACCAAAAAGGTACAGTATACTGCATAGCAGTATATAGAGCTGAATAGTATATACGTGTGACAAGAACTAAATGAGTTTGGAGTTAATAAAGGAATGATTCTCTAGAAACTTAGATAAGTAGATGTCAATACATCTTCTATGTCAATCATAAAGCTAGTAGTAAATATAGTAGAATGTATAGATATGGACGAGTTATAGTTGTATAATACTATACTATACTATACAGGGTACTTCTAGTTATACGGAATGAAAAAAAGAAAGAAATGCAGTAGGAAATCTTTTTCAAGGCTCTTCTAAGGGGCAATTTCTCCTTCTTCGGCCAATGCCTCGCGCATAGACTTGCTGTTGGGGTCAAAATATGGCTTCTCGCCAATACCGCAGACGCGTTGACCAAAGCGCTCGCCAAAGTCATCGTAGTCCATAGTGGCATTGTGGACCATGCTGCGGTTATCCCAGATGGCTGTTCCGCACGTTAGTATCTGGCCGCTCGTCTATTACAAAGGAAACATACCCATGTCATTCGGGCCCTGCCATCTGAAGCGGCACTGCAGGTCGTGGTTGCGGAGCACAATGTTCATGAGCCAGTCTAGAATCATTTCGCTCTCGGGGGGCGTGAGACCATTAATAGAACCGGGCTGTTGGGAAAAAGGTTAAGTTAGTCAAGTGCATGGGAATCGGACTAGGAAGCTGGATTTGATAGGTAAACACGTACGTAGGCGCCAATGGCGAAGACACTCTTCCATCCGGTAACGGGGTTGGTGCGGACAACAGGGTGCACTGCTTTCAAGGGAGTACCCGTGTTTTCAGGGTGGCCTCTTGCATCAGTATAGACTTTGATCTTTGCGTTCTTGATGATTCGCTCGAAGACTGTGGTGTCATGTGTTAACTATGCAATGAGTTCAAGGGTATCTTGAGCATTCCAGCTTACATGGTGCAGTGTAGTTGGCAGTATGCTGTTCAAGGAACTTTCGCATCGGCTCGCTGAGGCGGTCGTAGACCTCGTAGCCGGATGCCCATAGCGTGTCTGGAGTAAGTCAGTTGGTATTGGCAGATAGAAATGTAGCTAAGGGACTCACGTACCTCCTCCAGCAGTGGGAAGCTCAGTTAGTCGTAGGCATGTGTAATCCGAGGGCACTTGCTCAGACTGAATGTCACTGTGCCATGCCTCGAGCGCCTGCCTTGCATTTCCCAAGTCACGCGGAGTGGCCTTGCCATTGACAGCTTTCCTCTGACGAGAGTTGATAGTGCTGATTTCAAGGTCATCACCGCCCATAGCTTGCCGGGGGTTGAGCACGGGATGAATGTGCAGAGATGATTCTTGAGGCTTGCCGACAAGCTCACCCATGCGTTGAATCATCTTCTTTTGGAGATCGTTGTTCATGTCATTCTGGTTACGGAAGAAGACAACTCCACGTCGGGATACTAAAAGGGAAGTTCGTTAATTCTATCTTTTCGTGGGGAGAATGTTCGCCTGCTTACCTGTTATCGCAAGGTCTCTAAGCAGCTCATCTGAGTTGGGCGCATCCATCATTTGAACAAGGTTTGCCTCTGGAAACTCGGTTCCAACGGTGGGTGTAACCCTGAATTGTTTTAGGGAGTTGAGAACACCCTTGAGTTTCAAAGGCTTTGGAAAGCTAGTTTCTTGAGCAAACCCTCTACGCAAGCATGGCGACCGAATGGGCGACAATAGTGAGTGACGAAGCGCAGGTGTAACGCGGCCAAACATGATACTCGCGGTTCTCGACATTGTGACTGGTGATGTATCTACTACTATCTGAAGGCAAACGGTAGCAAGAAGGAAAAGATTGTAGTCTTCATGTGTGCGGTCGTTGCGACTGTAATATCAAACTTCAAAACTTCCCGCCCCTAGCCACCATCCAAATGCCAACTAGTCGGTGTATTTCCCGAGTTTACTATAGTACGCGGTGCATATGTAGGGGACCGTACGAGCTGGCAAGGCTCATCACGAAACTATTTAGGCGGCTCCATGATCCATGATCAGGCTAGGATGAAGATGGTTTAGCGTACCGGTTATCACGTACTAACTCACATTGCTATAACCGATGCACAATGAACCCCACTGTGGTCCGACACGTGTGTTAGCTCGGTGCATTTATGGAACACTAGCCCAGACTCATTCGACGGTACATTTTCAAAGACCCTCCTGTGCCTGCTGCCAAGAGTAGTTATGGTCCCTGAGGCTACATCTTCATTTACTCACCGAGGATGCAGTTACCGAATATCTTCAATTGACCGTCTGACATGGTCCTCAGCCGACAAATGTAGAAACTGAGGATGGATTGCTATGCTATAATTGGTTTTCCCTATTTGAGGCGTTGCTTAAATATCTGAGAGTGATTTGTTCCCATACATAAGTACACAGCTTCCTCTTCCTTCTATCCTTGTCTTTGGGACGTTAGATTACTGTTCAAAAAATTTAGTTTCTTACTATCTTCTTTGCGAAACCATCCCCATTCAGAAGATTCTACGTTACCATTTCGGTCATGGCCAAGAAACTCATTGTGATTGCTGGTGCAACCGGCAATCAGGGTTCCGCGATCGCCCGTGGATTGATTAAGACTGGAGACTGGCACATCCGTGCCGTGACCAGGAATCCGAATGGAGAGAAGGCAAAGAAACTTGCTGCTGAGGGTATGGAGATTGTTCAGGGTGACTACAATGATGAAGAATCTATGAAGAAAGCCTTTGATGTGAGTTACTCACTCCATATCTTCTTTGTTCGAACGATGTCTGATATGTCACTAGGGCGCGCAAGCCATTTTTGCGGTGACCAACTGGTGGGATGGCCTCTTCAGGGGCGCTAGTCTGAACGAAGCTGGTGATATCGAATATGCTCAAGGTACCATGCTCGCAAGGCTGGCGTCTCAAGTCAAGACATTAGAGCATTATATCTGGAGCACATTGCCAAACGGGGAGAAACTTACTGAGGGAAGAATCCCTGTTCCCCATTTTGACTACAAGGCTCGGGTCGACGATTACATCAAGGAGACCTTGCCAGAACTGGCTGCTAAGACAACCTTCCTCATGTTTGGTTTCTATCCAACAAACTTTGCCGACTTCCCAATGTTGAAGCCAGTGCCAGTAGTAAGTCCTTCCCACCTTTGAGAACACGGTGCTTACCTGGCTAACGAAACTGTCTGTAGAAAACTGCTCCAGGAAAATATCTTTGGATGATTCCAGCAGCTCCTTCCACTCTTTATCCCATGGCTGGTGACATGAGCAAGGAGCCAGGTATCTGGGCAAGGCAAATTTTGGCCAACCCCAAGGTATCACATGGCAAGTACGCCGCTGTTTGCACTGAGGTACTCAGTCTTGGAGAGGTGCTCGAAACATGGTCTGCTGTTTCAGGAAAGCAAGGTATATATGTCGAGGTAAAAGAGCACGTTATCGCTGATCTGTATGGGTTGCCCGGAGAAGAGGCTCTTACCGGAGTTAGATTTGGCATAGAAGTGCCCGATTGGTGGGCGCTAGCGAAGAAACAGGGTCTCTTCATCACCATGGAAGATCTAAGTATCTCAAGAGATGAGGTTTCTAACCTTAGGCAGAGTCTCGAGGCTATTAAAGAGTTTTTAGGTTAGCCATATATGTTGTGCCGGTGCACAGGGTTACTGGTAACCCTTGAGCAGCAGCTACGACCTAGGCCAACGAGCATAAAAGGAGGACTCTTATATACAGTACAATAGATAATTATACAATTCTAGAAGGTTAGTTCTACTATATATCCTCTACTATATTCTATTCTTTAGCCTAGCGATCGCATAGTGTCACGAAGGTGAAGATAAAGATTTTCGTAGTCGCTAGAGTGAAACTGGTAGGTACTACACCCTCTACACTTATTCAATATCTATGTACTCTCCTTACGAAGTATAGTAGATTTCTGAAGGTAAAAATTACTCTTATCATCATACTCAAAAACTCATGAAATAGAAATTTGAATTCTTTCTTGTTTCATAATATACATAACCTACTAGATTATAGAAAACATGGAACTAAAGTGGCTATCTTTGAATATACTGACTGACCTATAAAGAGATGGAGATACGTACTATATGTAGTTGCTTTGAAGTAAGAATTCTACGTTCGATTTTATTTAGTACTAGAATCGTTGTCTAATGATAACTACACGCTATGATTGTGGTGCAACGCTAGTATGATCTCGGTGCATTTTGTTTAGAACCCGATTCAAAATGCACCGATCTTAGGGATGCACAATCAAGATAAAAAAAGTCAATGAGGACCCACTGAGGGAAGATTCATACACTAAACTCAACTGACCAGGATGCTTTCGGGAGTTGCTCTGATTACAGTGGCGGGCTCTGGTAATGCTTCTTTTTTACTATTGCAACTGACTAGTTGTAGACCAACTGACGCGGCTTCGCAGGCTTTGGCCAGAGTGCCGCATACTCGCTGGCCCAACACGGCGTGCGCCAATTCGCGTTGTTTGACACCAACGCGGCTGGGCTACAAGAGACAACGCAGATGCTGGCCACCAAGTACAGTATAACAGATGTCCTGAGCGTGTCGACTGACTGTAGCACTGAGGAGACGATCGAGGCTAGCGTCGCTCAGGCAGCGGCTCGCTTCGGTCGTATCGACTTTGCCATCAACAATGCTGGCTTTGGTGGACCCATGGGGGGCAGTCCTGACGCATCACCTGCAGCCTTCGATGCCCACCTGAAAGAGAACGTGACAGGTGTGTGGCTATGGCATCGAGCTGAACTGCGACAGATGCTGCGGCAGCAGTTGCGCGATGGGCGCTACGGTCGCGGCAGTATCGTCCACGTCTGCTCGGTACATGCACTTGCAGCCTCGCCGACACACATTGCCGCCGGTGCCTACGTCGCTGGCCGGCATGCTATCCTGGGTCTCACGCGATCAGAGGGCGTGCTATATGCGCCGCAGCAGATACGCATCAACGCCCTCTGCCCAGGCTATATCGCGTCCCCTCTGATAGAGTCTTCAGAGCAAATCAAGGCCCTCGTCAGTAATCTAGTCTCTGAGCGTGTGCCTGCGAATCGACTTGGGGAGCCGGAGGAGGTTGCTGATGCCATTGTGTTTCTGGCCAGCCCCATGAGCAGCTACATGTATGCTCAGTCACTGGTGTTAGATGGGTATGTGGCGTTGTATAATCTTATATGAGAGAGAGCGCAAGCACTAATCAGTAATAGGGGCTACCTCGCACAGTGAGATTTCTATGTTATTGGAGAATTTTGATGTGTTTGAATGCTGTATACAAATTTGCCTCTGGATGTCTTGGGCACTTGGTATCAAGATCAAAAACAGGGGCAGAGTAGTTACAAACAAAACATGATTCCAAATTCAAAAAGCAGCATTTGACACGGGATTTAACAATCGTGAGGTTGATTCGTGTTATGATACAATTTCAACGGATGTATAATAGAGCATGATATAGAGTCTTATATGAAATTCCTCAAACTCGCACGACCCAAACTCATTCTTCCGTTCCACGGCCCTTTCTGTGATTAAGATATGGTACTTGATCCGCTGTTGTTCAGCAGTGACTTCTCTTTGAGACAGCGTATAGATGTGCGCACAAGATGAAGATCGGCGCGCACAATGTCGAGACAAATTGGTGCAATGGCCGCTAGGTCAGTGGCGGTTGGGTTGCTGGTGGATCGCTCGGGCGGCGACAAGGACATGGAGGGTGTAAGTCCAGATGTGACGAGGGCAGCTTCCAGAGAGCCTAGGATAGCAGAGAAATCGGTGAGGCGTAAGATTATGAGTTCATTGCTGAGAGCATCGGCTTCGTCGGCAGCAAGATCGTAGTTACCAAGAGAAAACTTCCACGGCTGGAGTGGAAGCTGGCTCTCAGAGTGGTTGGTGGCATTACTGGTGTTGCTCGAAAGATTGATGTTGTTCCTGGCGTTTGAATTGTTGGTGGTCGTGGTGGTCGCGGTAGTCGTTGTGGTGCTGCTGGCATCTGTCGACGCCTCGCTGGTATCGTCCGTGAGATTCCACAGCCGACACAGCCACTCAACCAGATGGGCACATAGTATCGTGACTGCGGTAAGCGGCAGCCGCTGTTGGCGACAACGCTCACAGTTCAGTACGGCAAGGCTGGGGCGCTCTGCTGTCGAAGTCACCTGGAGCGCTGTTTCGAGAGGGACTTGAGATGACGTGGTGAGTTCTTCGACGTGGGCCAGCGTTCGCAGGACATTAAATGCGCAACTGCAGTCTTGTATCTTCTCTTGTGGCATATCAGTGTTGCGGCCATGGAGTATTTAACGCTGTAGCATTAGCAGGGAACTCCACTCCCACCTGCCTCTTGGTCAAACGAAATACTCGGATGAAATAACACGCCCACCAAAACAGTGCAATGTTAATGAGCGTAGATATTGTGGCACGATACGTGATCGAGCTCAAAAGATCAGAGGGTTGACCCGCAATCAAGTAGATAGAATAAGCTGATAGCTGATCGCTGTAAAGGATTGATTGGAGAAGGTGCCTATCTACGTACGAAAGAAAATCGTGATATATACTGCGAGCTAGTCACGTGATACTACACAACAATATACACCGCTATCGTAGAACAATACATATATCTATAGTTGCATATTAATCTATACGTAAAACTCTAGCACCGGTGCATATAAAATGTTTTTTCAAACTACATCATGGTGGATATGGCTGATTACCAGTTGCAGCTTTGTTTGATATGAGCTATTCTTTTATCCGGGTATCTTGGTTGACCAAAAGCCTGCCTGCCACCCTCCAGCACTAGCGGGCTCGGATATTATGCAACGGCAAAGTAATAGATGCTTAGGGTCTGCCCGGTTCAGCTCCGTTTTCTGGTTGCTAAACCCAATCTGATCTCCGTCTGGAAACGGAGGTTTGGGAGGTATAAAACGGAGTAGCGCTGATAGTAAAGAAAAAGCCCAGTTTGGTGCTTACTTGCCCCATATTAGCGCCTCTTTGAGCCAAACGGAGCTCGGTTTTCCAGGTGGAGCTCATGATCTCCATCTCATTTTTCAAACCTCCGTTTCATGCCCATTTTGATGGCCCAGCTCACCACATGCTCCCAAACATGATCAGATTAGACATAGGATGGAGTCAACCGAACAGCTCCTCCGTTTTCTATCTCAATCGGGATAGGCAGCTGACCAGCCCCCCTGTTGAAGCTTTAAAACCAAAACAGTCATCAGACAAAGACAGAAAATAGAGCAACCGAACAGACTCTTCACCTTTCTATTGCCTGGTTCTCGTGGTTGTGTAAGAGCTCGGGATGTTTTTTGGTGATCGGCTAGCCTGCCTCGGCTCCAGAGCCGCCGACGCTACGGCTACCAACTCTTGACCTCTTAACCCTGGAGCGTCTTGATCCCTACGTTCATGCAACTCAATAAATCCGCCGAAACTTGCAAATAGCGCCAAGTCAGTCACTGCCGGCTCTCGTAACATGACGTCGTGTAATCCAACAAAACAAGATATCAAGGCTACTATCGCATCACTTGTGCATCACGCCAGAGTGTGGTAAACTGACCCGCAAGTCACCTTCTATCCTTATCCAATTGTCCACCACAAAAATGGCTCTTCTGGGAAACCCAGCAGTCGCTCCAGGCTCCACTGTCCTTGTAACGGGGGCTAATGGTTTCGTTGGCGCCCACGTTGCAGACCAGCTGCTCCACCAAGGCTACAAGGTGCGAGGCGCCGTCCGAGATGCTATCAAGCACCAATGGCTGGCACAGCTCTTCTCTCAAAAGTACGGCGCTGGAAAATTTGAACTTGTCGCCGTCAAGGACATGAGAGAGCCGGGCGCGTTTGACGATGCAGTCTTAGGTACTTACCCCTGCGCCAGAAGCTCCTGCTCCGTTACTGATCAAACTTCCCCGTCTAGGCGTTTCTGCAATTGCTCATGTTGCTTCTGTGAGGAGTATGGATGTCACACCGGACGAATTGCTCCGTACCACCGTTGCGGGAACCCTGGCTTGTTTACAGGCTGCTGCCAAGGAGCCAAGCGTACAGCGATTCGTCCTAACATCCTCTTCCGCTGCGGTCCGCTCCATCCAAGGTTATCGTGGAACGGACACAGTGTCATCCGATGAATATGACAACCATACTCTTAGTGTAGCCAGAAACATGCCTGAGGATTTTCTGCCCATGCAAAAATTTATGACAGCTTACTTTGCATCCAAAGTTGCGGCCGAACAAGCTTTCTGGAACTGGATCAAGAACAACAAGCCGCATTTTACTGCAAACACAGTGCTACCGTGCACAATTTACGGCAGTCCGCTCAACGTGGTTTACCAGGGCTTTCCGTCCACATCGAAAATCCCGCTTCAGATTTTAGACGGCGATACTGACTCCATTAAGCATGTGCAGCGTTGTACGTTATATTTGTTTTCAAGTTGCGAAGTTGTACCAATTGCTAACGCAACAGTAGTCTACTATGTGCACGTCCAGGATGTCGCTCGTCTTCACGTTGCCGGCCTGATCCACCCAGACACGGCCAACGAGCGTATTTTTGCATATGCGTCTCCATACTCCATCAATGAGTTCTTTGACATCTTTGCGAAATTCGTCAGGGACTACCAGTCTCCAGGGAAGCTCCCGGGGCTCGACTTCCCACTCGCCGTGATCGGTCCGCGGCAGAGGGCGGAAGCGCTGCTGAAGGATCTTGGCCGTCTTGGATTTATGGGGTTGGAGGAGACAATAGTCGATAGTGTGCAGACTCGCATCAAAGCAAGTGGGTAGCTTACTAGGTAGACCCACAAGACTGTTCAATGATATGGTTTACGATCAAATGCGAAAATGTGGAGACGAGTGGATGCGTTTCTTACTAGTCAATTTGAATTCATAGCTGCAGGATTATACTTCTAGTAGATCTCGTCATATCAAGTTGGATGCGCTATGTTGGCCCTATGCGCAAACAGGGAGGCCGTTGTAACAAAACTACGTATACAATTTATACGTAGTCTCGGCTCTAGTTTCTTAACTAGGAGTAGATCTTTTTTTCTAACGCTATGACTTATGTTTCGTATATTCCCGTAATGTGACAATACCTAGCTGAGTTCCACCTAGGCCATGACCTGCCCAAAAAGGTATAGTATACTGCATATTAGGATCTAGGGCTAAATAGTATATAAGGAAGTATAACAATATACCCCTCTCTCCTAAGGCTCATCGTAAGCTTCTTCGGACGGCACGTTGAGCGCAGCAGAGGGCACGCGCTAAAACCGCGGTTCTTTAGGCCGACGCCAGGACACCCATGTAGAACACTATCTAATCTAGTGTTTGTTACTTTAGCTCAGGTTGCGATTTGTTTCTTAATACATATCAGGAGATAAAACATGCTATATGACAAAGCCCTAGGCGACGGTGCAGCGACATTAGGCCGCCCCTCCCCCCTCCCCCCGGGCCCCACCCTTCCCTTTTCGCTTTATGCCGATAATCTCCAATCCACAAAGTAATTATGCCTGTGCCTGTTGCAACTGCAGTGATTGGCCGCCTAAGATGGCCTGACACCTTTTATCGCTGCCATCGCTATCCCATATCTTTCACTATCTGGGCATGCGATACGTAAGGCTTACCTTTCCCTCGTGGCGTGGACCCATTCGAGTCCCGCTCTCCCTAAGCCTATCTTGTGCTGCCAAAACAACTTTTGTATCAAATGAGCAACTGGTGCATGGCCCGACGAAACTGCTGATGGTCGGATAGTGTACGGAGGTGCCTCACAAAAGTTCTGTCCCGCCAAGAATAATCTATCCGATGTACGGCCGCCTTAGCCGAGGCTTGTCTCTCCCCTCTATGTACTCGTTACCACCTTGTAGCTCAATTATCTTTTGAATATGCACAAGAATTCGCTCAAT